GGTCTTATCCCAACTTATTAGTACCTAGGTGTAGAACTGAACGTTTTTCGAACAGTTTCATTCCTGCTGCGTCTCGTGCTTATAATAATAAGTAAACTGTAGATTATTATCGTTATTTTTATCTAACTTACCTATTTTTACCTGTAAATATAGAATAGATTAAATACCTATGTTCTTATACCCTGTAATTCCAAAGTAATTCAGTTGTTACTGCTAGTTTGGAAATTTATAATAATAATAATAATGTAATAGCCAGTTGCTCACATTGTCATTGTGATGAAATTATGGATGTTAGTACTGATAAACAATATTTTATTGGGTATAAAATAGACGAATAAAGTGATGTTTGATCAGTTGACTGTGTGAAGTTGAACTGAACACATCAATATGCCGAGGGATACACTTGTTGTGGACGAAAAACTATTGAGAGTCCATTTCTTGAGACAACAACGTGGCGGAAACATCGCTGGGTATCGCTGTGCACGTTTTCAAAGAGGTTATGGGATCGGAGGTATTTTCAAGAGTCTTGCGAGATATGCTATCCCTCTATTCAAACAAGGTGCCAACGTTGTTGACAAAAGAGCATTCCACGCAGCCACAGAAGTTGGTCAAGATGTACTCCGAGGAAAAAATGTCAGAGAATCTGTAAAGACTCACGGAGGTGACGTTGTTAAAGACTTTGCTGAGCAAGGAGCAAGGACTCTTCTGCGTCAAACGGGGCATGGACGCAAGAGAAGGCGACGTCAACGAAGTAATCTATCATCTGTCAAGAAGCAAAAACTGGAAGCCCTAAGACTTACCAAATGGATAACGGATGATGAAAGCAGTCACGATGATCAAAGCAGCTACGATGACGAATCGGATAGTGAAACGTCTCAAACAAGTGACGATATTTATTAGAAGCATAAGTTTATAGAACGTTTTGAAGAAATAAATATATTTTAAAACTTAAATCTTGTACACACTTTTAACCGCAAAGCCTCGCGTCCGATTTTAAGGGGTACACCTGCGTTATAAATAATCCCTATCTATCCATTGGGATACACTTAGTTATGCAAATTCGTATTGCCTTAATCCCCTTAATTACCTACACACCACCTAATGACTAGCAATACATAACAAGGTATATAACGACCGCATATTTGATAAAAATATATTTTTATGGCAAAATATATTACAACTGTTCTAAAAGTTTTTTCCTTCAAGTATTCTTGATGAGCTTTATTATGATCAGACTCGGTCATCTTAACAGCATATATGTATGTAGGAGGTTTGCTAAATAATAATAATAATAATAATAATAATAATAATAATAATAATAAAGATTTTATTTAAACAGGGTGACTAGAGTTACATGAAGTAATTTTCATCTAGGCCCTAAGTAATATACTGTCTATTAATACTAAGACTATAAATACCAATATAAAGAGTTACTAAGTCTAAAAATATACACATAGGGTTAAAAATGATCGTTAATTGTTATAAACACAAGTCAGATATTATCCTTGAGTTTGGAAAAGGCCAAATTTATGTAGTTTTTACGAAATGAGGAAAATGATGTCGAGCATCTCACACTATCAGGTAATAGATTCCACTCATTAGCTGCCAAGAAGACAAAAGTACGTTTGCCAGCATTAGAGTTTACTTTTGGAAGCTTCAAGTTATTATTTGTGGAGCCGCGAGTATTTACATTATGTACTTTGCTAAATGGTAAAAGTAAACTAGTGATATAACTTGGAGATAGATTATTTAACGCTTTATAAACTGTACTGGCACGAAAATATCGTATTCTCTCGTGAACTGGAAGCCATCCAAGTTCCAAAAATAAAGGCAGTGAAGGTGCCTTATGATCACGATCTAAAATCAGTCTGGCAGCTCTCTTTTGAAGCCGATGAAGTCTGTCCAAGTTTTGGGTAGATGTATTCCCCCAAATCACACAACAGTAATCCATCAAGGAGAGAATTAAACATCGGTAGAAGGCTTTACGAGCGTTTAGTGGCAGATGGTGACGTATTCGTCGTAATATTCCTAATCTTTGAGATATCTTTTTACACAACAGTCCGATATGCACAGACCAGCTCAAAGTTTGATCAAACTGAATACCAAGTAATCTTCCATCAAGCACAGTTTCAATTTGGAAATCATTTATAGTGATGTTTAAATCCTGTGGGATCTCAGACACTTTCTTGGTTGATGCTATAAACATTGCCTTAGTTTTCTGTTCGTTGGGAACCATTTTATTCGTTTCGGTCCATTGTATAATTGGTAACATTTCGGTACTGAGTTGTTCTTGTACACCCTGGACTGAACAACCAGATACATACTGAGTAGAATCATCTGCAAACATATCTATTTGGGTGCCATTCAGATGTAATGGAAGGTCATTCATATGGATAATAAATAACAAGGGCCCTAGAATTGACCCTTGCGGTACACTTGATTTAATGGATGCTTTAGAAGAAAGCTCATTTTCGATTTTCACTTTAAATTCTCTGTCTTTGAGGTAAGAAGTAAACCAAGACAATGCTTGATCATCCAAACCATACAAGTGCAATTTCTGGAGCAGTAATGAATGGTCAACAAGATCAAAAGCTTTACGTAGATCTAACATTGTTAAGCCGGAAAACTTCCCTTGGTCCATGTTGTGAAGCAAGAAGTCAGGTAGTTTTATTAATAGTGATTGGCATGAGTGGTTTTTGCGGAATCCTGATTGATTGTTGGAGATTAGCTGGTTAACTGTTAAATAAGAATATAATTTCTCACTGACATGTCTTTCAAGTACTTTTGATAAAAGAGGTAGAACTGAGATGGGACTATAACAGGATCTGTCCGTAAAATCTCCACCTTTAAATATGGGCGTGACCCTGGCACGTTTCCAACATAATGGCACTGAAGACATTGAAATACTTAAGTTAATTATTCTTGTAATATGGGGTGCTATAACTGGAGCAGCACAACCAAGAATTTTGGCTCCCAGATAATCAAGACCGACAGCTGCATTCGTCTCAAATTTAAGCAGTTGGCTCTTCACAAAGTCTATGTCAACCGTTGGAATACTGAACTTAGTGTCACTTAAACATTTGGACTCGATAAATTTCTTTAGTTTATGAAAGCTTGTTTTAGGTATAGGTGTTTTAACCATAAATTCAGATGTAATATTAGCAAAATACCTACAGAAAGATTCAGCTATCCCATGTGAGTCCTTGATCTCGACACCATCCTCTTTTATTGATCTTGGAGAGGAGGACTTTTTATCACGTTTCAAGATGCCATTAATCGAGTTCCACATTTTCCCAGGGTGACCTTCGTTTTCTTCAATAGATGATCTGTAAAATTCCCGTTTGCTTCTATTTATTAGCCAGACTACTTCGTTACGCACTTTACGGTAAAGTCACCACTCCTCAGTGTTTCTGTTGACTTTACCAGAAACATTAATGGCTTCTTTAAGGAGCCGATCTCGTTTCTTCATTTTAGACAAGATTTCTGGTTTCATCCAAGGGGGCTGGCGCCATAATTTAACACGTTTCTCTTTCATAGGCGCATGATCATTGATAACGTCATTGAATAATCGCTCAAATGTATCTAAGGCTGCATCCGGATCAGTGTCAATAGCAGCCAACTTTTGCCAGGGAACGTTCTCAAGGTCCTTGATAAACTTAGCGCTATCAAACATCTTAAAACAACGATATTTAATAGTTAAATGAGACTTTTCTCTGCATAGTCCCCCATTAAACTTGCGAATAAAGCAAACAGGAAAGTGGTCTGATAACCCAATTTGCGGAACAGAAATACGCACGATATTGTCCTCTGTCGTACACCAAATATGATCAAGGCAGGTGTTACTAGCTGGTCTTGTTGTAACATTAACTAGTTGGGTCATGGACATAGCATGAAGTCCCTGAACTAGTTGATGATTCATAGCAGACGGATCATGAATGTTAATGTTCAAGTCACCAAGCGCATAAAATTCTTTGCCCTCAAAGTAACCTTGAGATAGGATATCTTCCAGCTTAGAATCAGTTGCCATATTGGTGTCAGGAGGGCGATATACTCCGGCCACAAGAATAGGTTTCATGTTAGAATGGTTGATTTCCAACCACAAAATTTCAAGATCATTACTTTCAAGATCAGTCCGTCGATGAAATGAGATCTCATGTCGAACATAGGCCACAATTCCTCCACCCCGTTTACTACTCCTATCCTTTCTTAATAACAAATAACCAGGAACTTCTAGT